GTGTGTATATATATATATATATATATATACACACACACAATTAAAAAGAGTACAACATTAAAATAATTGTACAATAAATAATTTATTAAAGATAAAGGTGACGTAAGAACACCAAAACATGTTGAGGGCTCTTAGGGATGGTCCCTATTTTTACGTTGCACTTCTTTTAATTGTGTGTATATACACACACACATATATATTGCACAATAAATAATTTATTTTCCTCTAGTCTATCAATTCAAAATTATAAACCACCAACACAGATAGCAGCTTTGCGCGAAATCCAACAAAACAAACGAGTTGAGAAAAAAACCTCGTTCTTCTGTCTTTATATTATCATTAATTTCTACTTTTATTTACTTTAAGTTCGACAAAAAATTGTAGATTTAAGAAATAGTTTTATCAAGTTATATTTGTTTTTAAGGACCAGTTTTTCTTCGCGTGTTTCTCTCTTACTTGTTTCGCTTGTTGCCCCTCAGTGGCACAGCGGTATGTCTGCGGACTTACAACGCTAGAAACCGGGTTTCGATACCCGTGGTGAGCAGAGCACAGATAGCCTATTGTGTAGCTCTGTGCTTAATTAGAAACAAACAAGTATCACTTGTTCTTACTTCTATTTTGTGTCTGTTTTCTAAATCTCCACCCACCCAGTTTTTCATTTCAGCCAGCATTAGATATAAAATGGATAGTCAAATCATTTTAACTTAGGTAAACACTATTGTTTTGATTTCGAAATGTAAATAATTCGGGTAGCTCTGAAAGACCTTAAATACAATTTCTCTCATTTGATGAAATTGACTTTGAACAATAAAACTATCCAAAAACACTAAATTACGTGTACGAAACCAATATTGACGGGTTCGTTTTCAATTCTGCTCGAATATAAATACATTTTTTTCGAAGATTTCGATGTGGTTTTCCGTTTTAACTTTTAATATCATTTTTCTTATTCAAGACTCCGTAAGAGTATTATTATTTTAATACAGGATGGTGTTTCTATATAAGTGCAAAAGTATGTGCATAAATCAATGTCTAGTGATAACAAACGTCATTGGAGTAAGGTATCGAGCTCAGGCTGTCAGCAATGATACAGAGTTGCGGGGATCAGTGATAGGTGAATAACTTATCACTGAAACTTAATTGACAGATTTCAATACGAATTGGCAAAAATCTTTAAATCTGAGATTGGAGTTTTGATATTAACTTTTTCAATTCGCCATTAGTAGTAAGTAAGATAGAGCCGCCGTCACACTTATGGAAATATGAGATAAAAACGATACCATTGCATAAGTGTTACGTATTAGAATTTTAAATGGTCCGAAATTGAGTTAACTGATAACTTAAATTTAGTAGTTAAATCATACTTTGGATTTAGTATTTAAACAAATGCCGATATATAGTCAGTTTATGATATTTGCCAATAAGGTTGATACACAGTTTTCTTTTTTAACACAGATACGTTTTAATATACACACAACAGTACAATTTACAATAACAATTATTACAAATAGTTATTACAAACAAAAGTTTCACAAACTTACAAACAATAGAAAGTTTTCTTTCTAGTCTGGAACCTCCTTGATATCTTATCGAGGGATTTTTTACGATGAACGAGTTAATTACGAGTTGATGTAGATACGATTCACTGGGAAGCTAGCTAGCTTTGTCCTTTGCCACACACGCTGAGTTCTCCACGATGAATTTATGTAATGTTTTCGTAAAAATATTAATGTCCGATGAGAGCTAAATGAGTTGTAATGTTCGAACTTTGTAAAGGTTCCTGGTCAAATATCTGAAGTTTTCCTATTGGTAAGCGTTATAACAATCACAGTTATAGCTTCCGAAGTTTTATAGTACACTGATTATAGGGAACTAATAATAGATACACTTCATCTTTTGGCGCGTCGCGTTGGTTATATTTATAGCCGTGTGGAGGCATTCTAGAAATTTCAGTTTTACGTAACAATACAAGTTAAGCGTTTACGTATATACATATATTGTTGATTCTTACTCTCGAGAATCTTCTACAGCTTTGGGGAATAGGCGGGAGTATCGCAATACATATCTAACATTACAAGCTATGCATGTTTTTAAATATAAATGTAATCTAAACAAACGTCGATAATAAAATTAATATATAATAACAAATTCGTTATAACAAGTTACTAAAATTTTCGTATTTTTTTTAGCGTACGAAACGCTGAAGAAGCATCTTTGATTTTGGGGAATATCTTAAACCGGACCACAAGTAATTAGATATGTTAAAATATTTAACATCCTATTAAAGATCCATTATGGGTACCCTTGCTTAAAAGAAAATCATAATGACAAAATGCGTCTTTAAAAACGTTTTTGGTGTTAGAGGAAATATCTGTTTGCTATTGGTGTAATAAGGGAAGTGCAAACTAAGGGCATAGGCATCTACTGTAAAATAAATAACATAAATTATTGAGAATATCAAACATTCATTAAACTAATTTTTTTGATTTAAAAAATATATACTATTTGTATGTTTACTTATTTTGGCTAATTAATTTGATCTTTGTCTCCCTTCCAACTCATTTTAAGATAGCAGTGCTGTACGTCGTAAAGTATTATATCCATGGAATCACGTTCTAAAGTCAAAGTTAAAACCGTAACTTTCTAGAAGTTAACATGAGAGAATGACCTTATTTTTGGAGATTCACCACGTCATTACAGTCCATGTTGCCACTCCCGGTTATGCTCTATCCGACAATAGTGCCTCTTAACAATAGTCCTACAGCGTGGTTTCCATTGAAAACGGCTCCGTCGTAAGGCTGTCATGTCCAAAGCATATCACTTCTTCTTGCATACTTTACATAAACCATTTATACAAGTACGACTGTTTCCCAGCACCCATTTGAAATGCCCGACCTCATAGAAATCCACTGGCGACTTGACGTTATGTCTTCGTATGGAATAGCATGAATACCCGTATCGTTCTCCAGCAGCTTGAGGCATGCGACGGTTGAACGTGAGGTATGACTCGAAGCCATATCTTGGTGAACCAATACTCCGTTGGCCTTATTTCCAGACTATGAACTTTCTTGATTATGTTGCTACTGTTGCCTGGGTTACGCGGACGGCTTTTTTCCACTGACAAACGTGTTCGTGGATTCTTCCGTGTTACAAGACGCCGTACTTTACCACAGCTGGAGTATGACTTGTTGCAGGTTTCTTTATGGGTGGTTCTGGTTTTCCAAGTATATATCTAATCCTTTATTTTCCAATACTATTAAATATAAGGGATATCCCCGTCTTGGGAATTCTAAATCCCCGATTTAAACACATTCTTTTGATCTAAGTGAATAAATATTTTTCGCCAAAAAAAGCTATTACGTACTCTTCCAAAAGTGATCAATTTTCGGTGCCATCAAAGTACCTACAAATCGCCAAACAATGCAAAATGTAGTTCTGATACATCCATTCCATCAGAACTTAACGTCAGCTGTGATTGTCACGTGATTTCTATGTTAAAAACAAGTTGAAGTTAACTGAAATAAAATAATTACCTAAATGAGGAGATAACATGTAATACTTGCGAGGACGAACACTCAACTTTTAAGTTAATTACAACACAATGACTTGCTTTTTTCCCAAAAAACTTGATCTACTTGTATATCTTCTTCAAACAAGTTAAAATTTACTGACGTGAATTAAGTAACAAAATGAGGGAAACGACAGGTATGTTTTCAGGACACTTTACGCTCAAATGCCATATGAGACAATGCCTTTTAGTTACTCATAGACATGGACTACTTCTTTTTCATATTGATTATTGAATTGAAATTAAATGATGCGGATTAACTAAGAAAAGCAGTCAAAGGC